TATTTAACTAACTATATTTTTTTAAACACTTTAAGGAACATTTGATTAACTTCGACCTTGAAAACCATCTCAACCAATGTTTTTTTAGTCAATTACCGTATAGGCAAGAAAAGTGAATAACAATTCTTAAATCTCCATAAGTTAGGTTCAGTAGGCTGGTATTGTTTGGTAGTTTTTATACGTACTATAGTAAAGCCAATCAGTGATCGGTGAGACAGCGATGCCACATTTGAGCGTGGCTTGCTGCGAGCCGAGCAACATGGCTGTTACGTAGCCACCGTAGCCCCAGCCCCACACCGCCACGCGCGTTACGTCCAGGAATTTAAACGTTTCTAATAAGTACCTGTGAAAACATTCTACTATAATTAAGTAACCCAATAAAGTCCACTGAACATATAAGTTGTCTGTCGTAGTGAAAGAGTATTTTTTTTTATTACCACTGTGAGAGAGATGTAAAGAGTAGAAATTACGAATGTATTTACCTAATCACAGCCAACTGGTCAGCGACCTCGACGCCCCCAAGGCGTCCACGTAGCAGCGCTCGAGGTAGACCTCTGGCGCCTGCTACGTCTAGTTTGACGTATACCACGTCATTGCGGGACGACATGTACGACCCCCAGTCCACCAGGAACTCGTCCGTCACCTGTTGGCTGCCTGGTCTACCGTCACTGCGAAATATACGTTACATAATGTAACTTTATTTACACCTTTTACAAGTGTATCATAATCAAAAAATACATACACATGAACAAGAACAGGAAACGCAGCGTCTCTAAGTTCCTCTCGCCAAGAAGGCGGTAACAGAAGTTGGACTCGAGCTTTAGAGCCACTACTGAGCTGCACATCGAAAGACCGCCGCGTTGGCAGAGCCAACTCTCTGAGACGTACGGATCTAATGAAAAACAAAGTAATCAGTATTAAAAACATGCACAAAAGATGATGAAAAATTCAGTAGTTATGGTTCTTACCTATAAGGCCTCGTATCATATAATATTCTTTCTAGCTTATGAGTTTTAGCGTTATGTAAGCCAGCTAGAGGCGGACCTGGGCCACCGCATTCTAACACGTAATGTGTGATGCCAATTTTAGGTTTGGGCGGCGAGAAGGTAGCTCTCCAAAAGGAGCAGTTGGCGTAGTGGAGGCGCGCGGGCCACACGGCCAGCTCACAGGTCAGGCAGCGCGGCTCCTCCCGCTCCGCCCGAGCCTTCACTGAGTTGCTCCCTCCACCGTACCCAGGGTCGCGCACCACGTACACCTGACGTTGCCCAGGCCTATCTGCACTACCTAAAATGAAACCAAAGCTCATCTATCCACCCTCAATGAAAGTTATCGCACTCACCAAATCGTCACACTCATCTGACTGATCTAAACGTGCTGCCAGACCCGATGTACAAATGACAACTACGTGTAGAAACAAGCTGTGCAGCCAAAATGAGTGTTAAGGTTAGTAAACAAGACACTATGAATCAATTAAACTCATCACTCAATCGCAACCAATGCCAATACTTAATTTGATTTGCCTCCTTGATTATTTCGGAATGCAGTTTGGGTATGTATAACCTTTCTTTGTCTAAACCTTCAATGAAAAAAATAAAATTTTATAACGCAAATGTACCTTTAAATTTCGAATAATCTACTTATTATTGGTTAGAAATTCAAAAATTGTACCTAAATAATAAACCAGGTTGTTTATCTGGTCCCACGCAAGTATTTCGGCGACTTCCACTTTTCCGTGTGAAAGTACTGCTATCCTTTGACGCAACACGTCAACATGTTTGATATGCGTGTAATATTGGCCCCCGCCCTCCTGAACGGCTGCTAATAGTAAAAAGGCACTACCATCTTCTGAATAGACTGGTTTCTGATGAACTTCTAGCCACGGCTCATCTGTTGCTTTTTCTGAATGGGTCTAATAACAAAAAAATATTACATATGCTTAGTTTCCAAACATTGCTGGAGTAATCCAATGCTCTTTGAAATAGATTGCAGTATACTTTGACGTTCGAACTGCGTATGTTCTAAACCACGAACACACCCGGTCGATGTACGAATAAAGTTGTGTGGAAACATTCGTTGTTAAACTTACCTCAGTACACGTCCAATTAGGAGCGTAACAACTACTATACACTGTTAGGTTCTGGGCTCGACTCATCCACACTACTCCCACATGAGAATTATCTTTGCCCACCCACTGAGCTGATATGAGATAATATTCACTGAAAGAACACAAATAATTACTTATACTAAACTATCGTACTAATTAAAAGGTATGGTACTTAAGCAAACATACATTCCATCTAATGTACTTGGAGGTTTAACTTCCCATCTTGGCGGAGACGTTGTATTTTGTACTGCCACTATCCATAATTTAACTTTTGGAATTGAACTGCCGGGCTGAAAAAGGTATCATTATTAATAAATTAAAAAAATTATCCTTTCTTTGCCAAACCTGATATACGAAAAGATCGTAGGATTTAGGCCTGGAAGCAATGGATTAGAAGACTGATGATGAAGATGATAATGGTAATCCAAGATTTCTTACCGTGGGATACCTAACCGTCATGTGGTCGGGAAAGACAGCGTGTATGCTGTTGTTGAGGGCGGGCAAAAGGAAGCCGGACCTGGTCGCACCGGTGCCGCCGATGCCCTCCGATATTCTGGGGAACTGCAGCTCCGGCACCATCGTGTCGTTGTACTGCACGTACATGACCAGCGTCCCGTCTGATGATCCCCAGGTCGCAGATGCTGTTTTTGTCACCTCCTCTGTTTTGGTAAATAAAAGAATAGCTCAAAGAAACAAGAGATATTTAGAGAATATTCAGAGATCAATTTAAAGGAAGCGATTCATTCTCTTTTTGTATGAGTTTAAAAAAATATAATAATAAATAGTTTGCTAAAGTCAGAAACTTTGTCTTCTCAAGAAGGAATTGGTGAAATCTTCTAGCAATTGTGTCTAAAATAGTTACTTCTGAACTATTTTAGTACCTTGATAGAGCCAGTCTGAGACACCATTGTAGACGCTGCCAGTGTAGGCGTCTGTGGTAAGACGCAAGATGGGCGCGCGGCGAGCGGGTGGGCCGGGGCGCGCCAACACCTCGCTATCAGCGACCAGCAGCAGCGCGCCATCCGTGCCCAGCCATGCCGTGTGTTGCCACTCCCAGCTGCTCTGCCCCTCACCGAACAGCGGGATGTGGTGGCTGGATAACATGCGGTTTCCATGAAATTTACGCTACCATACCTACGAGTTTAGGAGCAGTGATCGCTTACAGTGAACTGGCGCTAGTTATGTCGATGATTCGTACCATTATTTCTATCTTATTCAATCTTACTTATAGGAAGCATCTTTAAAGTTCCATCTTATTATGTTCTATCTATCTTATATCTATAGTAGTCATATTACTTGTAAGCCTACACATTTTATTTGGTATGGATTAAAATTAAAAAAAAATGTTCATGTTCCTACTTAAAAATTGCTTCCTTTAAGAATTTAAATTCATGAAACAGGTGAAATAAAATTTTATTATCATACGCAAGAAACTGGAAGGTTTATTTTCATGTTATACTCACTCATTTGTGACGTCATAAACTGTATAGTACGCTGTAAAAGTCCGCCTGTAAACCTGAAAACAAAAGCCTTCTGTTATCTTGTATGCTAATGAAAAATTGAATAATTTTCAAATGTAAAATACAAAATATATGATACCTCTTTGATATTGTGTTGGAAAAGGACATGATGCAGATTTGGGGAGCACTGATACCCGCGCACATTTAACTGCCTCTGCAACAAAAATAATATTTAATAATATATAAAACTTAAAATCTCCGGTCAATAAGTAATTAATCATAACATAATAATGATTAAGGTAAAGCCTCTCTTCATTTTAAATATGATTTTATTGCTAACCTTGCATTGGAAATTATTTTATTTCCAAAACAGCTTTAAACCAAAATATTGTATGATATAATAATTTTGGAATAAATAATTTTAAATGAAGATGCGCAATATGTTGCACTCACTAGCGTGTGATTGGTGACGAGTACAGTGAGAGAGTTGTTGAAAGTGTCGAGCGCGAGTAGACTGCCGTCGTCTGCCTGATACACGAGCTGGTGCGAGCTCACCCACGTGGTGGGCAGCCGCTCCCCGGTCAGGTCGCCGCGCAGGAACTCGTCGAGACGCATACGACGACCCGACCAGTATAATAACTCGTCCACATACCTGAATCAGAAAGTTTGTTATTAAACATATGTTAAGAGGAACAAGGGAAGTTACCCTTCAGCGATCTACTGGCGTTTTCTCGAGGGATTATAAGGCAGTGCACGTGGCCAAAGATAGCGCCTGCAGTATGTCTTATTAAATTTTTGATATTATGACATCTCGTTAAAGTTTCATTTTACCCAAAGAGAGAAAGTACCTTTCGAATTTTGTCTGGCGTAGTAGGAATGCTAATATGCGTTCCGCATTTTTTTTTAAAGTAGAAGAAAGTTGAAATAACTTACCCTAGTAAATATATAGCTGTAACGATTCCCGCTATAACAAAACTGATGACCATCAAAGAAAATATGATACTTCTCCAATTGTGGCCGTCTCCTGGGTAGAGGTCCTACAAGAAAAAGATACATTACACATTACATTTAGTACATTAGGTTAGCAGACAGAGTCCTGAGCAGAATTAGCTGCTGCGCATCCGCGAATCCGCTAAACTGGCGTCAAGAAGGATAATTGTAGATACATTTCTCTTGGCTGTGCTGTGTAAAGCACAAGAATGTTGAGGGATTTCCTACCGCAAATCCCTCAAAACTTGATCCACTTGAAATGTGGCTACTAACCTCCTCTTTGGCGGACTTGGGGTCGGCGACCTGCAGCGTCTCGTCGGGCGGAAGGCGCCAGGAGCCGCCGCCGCCGCCGCCGCCGCCCGAGCGGTCCGTGTGGCCGGTGGCGTGCATGCGCCGCAGCACCGCCCGCCGCACCGCCCGCCGCGCACGCCGCGCACGCACCCGCCACCGCGCCGGGCTACGCCACCTCGCGCTCGCTCGCACCCACGGCGCGTATGCGCAGCGCGCTCGCGCCACGCTCCACACCCATCACTGTCAATAATAAATGCTATCTTATGATTTCACCAAGAAAACAATAGCACATGCGTAAGTATATGTATTTTTCAGATCCTTGGACCTAACCATTAATATCGTTTACAATTTACGTCAATCAAAACCACCACTTCATAAATTAAAAAGCTAAATTTTAGTTGCAATAGATTGGTAAGTTAGAAACAAATGTATGTATATATGCTTATTAATATTATACTACGAGATAAATTGGTTTTTAAATGTTGATTACATTGTTTCACAGTATTATTTTTAAATGACCCGGGCAAAAACTGTGGAAAATTAAATATTTTACTGTACATTTTGTTAGAAGGTAGACCGTCCTGAATACTTCATAGTGATAGAGAATTGCAGCGAGCTCTCCGCTGCGGTGAACTTAAATTTTAATCAAGCTGCAAGTGATACATATCAGGTTGTTTTTTTTTATATTTTTAGTAAACATTTACATGGAATATTACATATTATTTTATGTTTTACTTAACTGATCGAGAATAGGTAATGTAGGCTTTAACACAGCTTAAAGTGTTCATTCTACCATTAAAAGAAAAATAAATAATGTATCCAGTTTCAATATTTAATTTGTAGACGATTGCTAGGATTTTTTTTATTCAAAAATAGCTTTCACTCGCGACTAAGTCCGCGCGTAATTAAAATACTTACATAATTAGTTCCCGGCAATTATTCGAATTTTTTTCATCTTTAAAATCTTCCCTACACCTCCACGAACATATCAAGATTAAAATAAGATAAATCTATGCAGCCGTTATCGAGTTTTAGCGAGACTAACGAACAGCAATTGGTTTTTACATATCTATAGATGTAAACTGAAAGGTGGTAAGAGATAATTCCTTATTTTAAATATAATACAAAAAGAACGGATATTTACTTGGTAACCCAGGCTGGCTTAAAACCCACAGATGGAACTACAGTTATTACCTGCGGAGTTTACCAAACGAAAAAGAAATAATTCGATTTTTTTTATTTTAAATTTGCTTGTTAATAGTTTAAACAGTATTAGTGGGAAGGCGAGAGAACGGAGACACAGATTGTTTTTGGAGTTTGTCCAACATTTTGGCGCACTTCAATCAGTTTTTATATTCGCTTCACGTCAATTTTACGACTGTGTAAAACTGCCGTCTCTAGACGATATCAAGATTAATGTTGTTTTTATAGCGAAAATATTTAGATACCCACAATCATATACTAACCGGCATTCGGGGAAGTTTACAAGTAGTTTTTCTTAGAAATATTTAATGAATTTAGGGCTTAAATGTTTCGTAACAAAACTTTGAAATAGATAAAAACAGATTTCTAGTTATAGTTAAAACTAACTAAAAATCAGTACGATGCAATAAAACTTAACTATATAAACTCAAGTTGAACAAATACGTATAATAATTGAACTGAGCTCAATCAATTTGTGAGTAGCGACTCAATATTTGTATAGTTGGGAACGATTGCTGCGACCCATTGGGAGAATACAAAATTACAGCTTGACAGAGAAAGTCCATTAAGGTTTTATGACATCGACCTGCAGGACAAAAGGGAGCGATGACATTTTTAAATTAATTATTTTCCACATTGAATTATGTCGATTAACAGCAGTTAAGCAGTATAGCAATACATAAGAATT